TGTTATGATTACAACCTGAACAACAAACAAGTTCAATAAATGAAATTACAGAGAGAGAGAGAGAGAGAGAGAGAGAGGGAGAGAGAGAGAGAGAGAGAGAGAGAGAGAGAGAGAGAGAATGCCTTGGTTGTGGGAACTCTCATTTCATCAAATATATCACCCCCAAGCTGTGGAAAATCATCTTCCAGCAAAGACAATGGCTTCTCAACCATAAAAGTTGCTACTATGTCATGACCTACAAAGTGGAACCAAAACGACATTAGCATATGAGTCTTTGAACAGCATATAGGCTACAGCAACTAATGAGTCTTTCCACAATTATCTTAAAGCATCAAAACTTTAAGGGGTTGCAATAGAAGGTGCTAGTTTTATCAAAATCTGTAAGTGCTTTGACAATTGGTTACATATGTAATATGCCCCTCAATAGGGAAATATTGTGCACCAAAATCATCATCACCAATATTTAGTAAAGATTCAGAAATGAACAAACAGATAACTTCGGATCGAGTCCTGGACATGAAAAAGAAAGGTTACACCTATTTGGGAAGAGGCTTGTCCCATTATGTCAAAGTTACACAACAACTGAGCATGAAAAGAACTATTAGAATGTTAATGTCTTCATAGATACATGCAGCAATTTGAAGTCTGGAATCTCCACATCAGATTCTCCAGATTATTTATCTTCTTCCTATATCCTCGGCTCCCAACAGTCTATAACAATCTAATTCGTATGAATAGTCTAAGCAAGAAAAGAAAGAATGCAGAAGAAGTCCAATAAAACCTTCATAGCTATAAACTGATTACCAAACACAGCACAGCTGGTGTACATAAATTACCATTTAGAGGTTTAGACGAATTATCACAACCTCCAATTTTCAATCAACAACTGAACAGTAAACGATTCATTACCTAAGTTGAATTCGAGCATTTATATGATATAAAGGTGAAAAAAAACAAAAACAAAAACAGTTATGTAATTATCCGTTGATCACATAATCTGAGAAGAATCGCGGTTAATACGGCACTGTAGACCTAAGCACCGACAAATCTAAATAAATTAAACCAACTAAAACTTCAAAAAGTAAGAAACAACAAATCCACAAAGCATAACTGCAGCAATTCAACCCTAAACGACACAATTCAGTGCGAAATAATCGAAACTAGACTAAAAGCAGATGGGGATCTGTATGTTACGAGTAATGCCGCGATGCTCGGATTAAGATATAAACAACCTACAAGGGAAAAAAAAAATAAAAAAAAGGACAATATCTCCTTACTAACCTTTATAATGAGAATCGAGATCTAGATCCCCCTTATCTCCGTGGCGAAAAAACGGGGGCAGCCAGAAAACAGCAGAGAGCAAGACCGAGAGTCCAAGGATCAAAATAAACACACATCGAAACCGGAATAAATGAGCAATCCTACAACAGCAAGAACAATTGTCTGCATTACGAGGAGTTGATTGTGAATGAGCGATGGTAGTGGGTAAGGGCTCTTCTTCCCCCTTTCCCATATCGGGGAATGTGGGTTGTTTCTAATTGAATCAATCTTCTTCCCCATTGCTGGTGTGAGTTGTTGGAGAGTCCATGGCTGCAGAGATAGAGAGAGAAGAGGGCTGGATTTTGATATAGGGTTTGGGGGTGTTGGGAGAGAGTAAAGAGTAGAGTTTTATTAACTTCGTGTTTAGTGTTAGTGTGAAGGAAAGTGATGGATTTTTGCTTCGAGAATGTGATGTTTAAGATTTACTTTAAATTCTTGCATTTAACGGTTTTCCAATTTTATTAATACACAATTTTACATAAATGGTCTTTTTGGAAAAGATATCATATTTGGTCCTTAGGAAGAATTTTTTTCATAGATCGTACTTATGTTTGAAAATTTTTACAATAATGGTCTTTATAACTAACATTGTTATAAATAAAGGGTTAACTTTTTGTGAAATGTTGAAATCACGGTTTTGGTATTTTTTTTTTCTCTTTTTTAAAAGGTTAATAATAAAAGAAAATGGGTCTCACCACATTATCTTTTCGAATGTTTCCATTCTTCCGAAACTACTATAAAAATCATTATCTTTTTTAACTTTCTTTCTCTAACTACCATAAAAATCATCATCTTTTTGAACTTTCGTTCTCTTCTTTATCTCTTGTCCCCTCTATTTTTCTCTCACATCATCTTGACAAGAAACATTCACCAACTTGATATGTTTACTATAACATCCACATTCCCTCATAAGTTATATATTTTCCCTCCCATCATACTAGTAAACCTAAACCACCAACATCATCGAGCTTCTTCACCATTACCAGAGATCGAGATCGCGAAACAAATGTTATATTATATATGAAACACATATAACCATCCATATACAGACAATATAATTGACACCCACGCTTATATCACAGTTGTCGGTTTACTAAAAAACGTAACTATCACTATTCCCTCCCTTATTTCTAACTCACCAACATTACCCTAAATTCATAATCATTAAATGAAAAAACCTATTATCTATAGGCACCCTAACAAACTCAATCGTTAAAAGATCAAGCCTATTATCGAGCTTAAAGCTTGATTAGTTGTTGTTACTATAATTTAGGAGTTTGGGGAGTCTAAATCGGTTGAGTCAAATCGGATTGATCTCAAGTACTTCACTTTTTCTAATATTTCATGTGGACTTAATTTCCTTTCTATAATTATAAATCTCTATAAAGAAACTTGAGGTGTTTCAACATTTGATTATATCTCTCAAAAATGTTCCATATATGTTTTCCTTCCAAATTAATGCATGTGAAATTGAATTCAATCAATCAGTGTGGTGTTCTTTTATGTCCAATTCATATCATATATGGTGTGTATGTGTGGTTTGGGTATGGTTTTCTTGATTTGTATTCTTTCTATATTATTTTTTACATTAATAGATCATGTTCATTTCATTTTTCATCTAGATTTATTCATTACTTCATTGAAAATTTCATATAGGTTTTGTTTTAGTTGTCTGGATTACTTCATTTGATAGTTTGTGATAAAAACAAAGGATCAAAAAAGTTGCAGGTTTGTAGATTGATTTGGTTTTATTGTCTCTTGTTGTTTATGGATTGTAAATTAATGGAGATTAATTATGTTAATTTGTTTTGACTTTAATTTGTGTTTGTAAATGTGGTGCAAGGTTTTTCCAAGGAAAAATAAACAATATCTTATGAAGTTTAAACCAAATTTTGAGGATGTTATAGTTAGCAATCACAATAATCATGCATATTTTACCCTCCTTAAGCTTTCCCTTAAAAGCTCTTAAATTTATCCTATATAATTTTGAGAAACAATAATAGGGTGGTCAACCATTGAAACAACTCATTTTATGCCGTTGATCCTATTCTACAACATGTTTGTAACGTCCCAAAAATTAAGACTAAAATTTTTAATTTTTAAATTAATAAAACCATTATCCAAAACAATATTATAAAACCATAGCGAATCAGATTGTATCAATAAACATCCAAGTACATTAGAGTAATATCAAATGCGGAACAATGTGGTGTATGCACTGCAATCATCCCGAGCTCTTTCCTTTTGAATTAGAGGTATCCTGAAACGTAAACTGAAAACCGTAAGCACAAAGCTTAGTGAGTTCCCCAAAATACCACATATCAAACATATAATGGGCCCCGTTCGGCTTCGAGCCCCTCTCGGAACAAATATGTCAGTCATCACGCCCCACCTGGCATCGGGTCTCACCCGGTATACATACAAACACATGCAAAAATCACAAAGATAAATAGCATACAATATAATCATCAGGCTCCGCCCGACTTCGGTCCCCGCCCGGCATACATATAAACACATCTCATACATGCATGAGTCACACAACCAACTAACATCCTAATCATAATAACCATGAGCCGACATTAGTGTCTTTGACCCGCTAAACACAGTGAGAAAAATCACCTCAAGCTGTTGAATCTCTCGGATAAAATCTTGGTCTGCTGATCCGGAAAATCTTCACGCTAACATCATCAAATAGTATCCAATTAATAATCGGATCTCGACCCATAATCAAGAATCTAAATTACATGTCCAACATCCAGGGTAAAAGACTTTTTTACCCTTTTTTTAATTGGCCTAAAACAAAGGCCCAACCCATTTGCTCAAAATGCCTAAATTCATTAATGTTTCTTTTCGAGTGACTGTTTCCAAATGTACTAAATCATCATCAACCGAATTTTGAAACGGTATCCACGATGTGATTTTGAAATTTATCATTAGACATTTTATAGTGATCAATCTAGCTCTATGTACATTGAACTTGACAGATTTATTAGTGTGAATGTACATGAGAATTTTGTAGGTCTTTGTTTATATTTTATTCAAATAGGTAAAATGAACGGACACAAAAATTTTGAAAGTCAATGCATTAAATTTTGAAAGTCGATGCATTAATTTGAGAGTTGCTCACGAATATAGATCAACTCTTTAAATTAATAATTTATTAATTTTTCGATATAATAATATTTTGCTAAATTAATAAAATATTTCAATCTTATCATTATTAATTTATAGAGGTTTTAATGTATACACTTCACATGATAGCATTTACTTGCCCTACTCTACATTCTGCATTAATTGTGACACGGTGTACTTGATTCTACTTGAATATAGTGTAGGATGGTTTATGCACTTGATTCTACTTGATTATAATTTAGGATTCGATGGTGACAACATCGGGAGTGTTTAAGCTACTTATGACAATGCCACCGAGCTGCAAACGATGCGACAATGGAGGAAATAGACTCAACGGCAAAAGAACCAAAATAGTGAAGTACCCTCGTAGACATGGCACATGAGGGTTATTAACAGTAGCAAACTGGCAAGGTTAGTTTAGTAGAACTAACCTTGCTAAATTAGTTTGAAATAAGAACAATCTTGAAACAATCCAGAAAGTTAGACCACGGATGTGATGAAACCTAATCAGAAGGGACCAATATGTAATTTACTTTAAAATTAATAAACTCCAAAATAACAAATTTAAAAATCTGTCATCAAAACTGATTTTTTTACCTACCAGATTCTAGAAACAGGTCATAACAGGTAAGTTAACTTTGGCAAGCCTACTGAGTAAGGAGATAAAATCTACAATTTTATGGTCAAATAAGACATTTTTTTTTTAAATCTAACAAGATCAGTATCCGTATGACTTGCCTAAAAGTAAAAACCAAGCAACTTTCGTACTTGGCATTCTGTATTTCATCATAAAACAGAACAGCACCTACAAACTCAAACTGAAACTAAAACCAAAATTTTTAAATCTAACAATAAACAATACATCTGTAGATACAAAGTTCCAGTTTATGTAAAACAAGAGATGGTTGAACCCTGCCATGCTACCACCCGCTCGACCACCCTGCACCACTATCTGATTGCACAGAGCTTCTCTTGCCGCCGCCGCCGCCACCACTACCACCACCATCAGCCCAACCGCCATTAAAAGCCTCTCCTCCCGGAGAGTTCTGAGTTTTTCCACCTGGGAAACCCCCCCACCCTTCTTCCCAATCCTTAGACCTATCGTCTCCACCACGGTTGTTAAATGACCCCCGCCCTCGGCCCCGCCCACGTCCACCACCGCCGTAAGGTCTCGGCACACCGCTTTCGTGACCACCACCACCACTCCTGAAATCACCTCTACCTGCAACACATGTAAGTCAAATAAATAAATAAACTGAATCCAATTATCCACGAGGCCGAGGCTGAGGCTCACCTGGTCTAGAACTCGGAGTCGATGTTCTTTCTCGATCTCCAGATGAACCTCTCCAGTCGCTGCTATTATTAGAGCCGCCGCCGCCGCTGCCACCACCCCAGCCACCACCTGCAGGGCTGCGCATGGGCACCATGGCAGCAACAGACCGAATGGAGGGTCCCGCATCATGTGGATCATCAATGTGTCTTTGAAAATATGCGACAAGTCTGTCGATTTCCTCAAACATTTTCTTTCTGAATTTAAACCCCTTGGGATACAATCCAATATACTCATGATGCGGATTGGAGCTTCGTATGTATGTCAAGATAAATGTGCCTGGGTGTTCATGGGATATACCAAATGAGTAAACAATCCTCGATGGATTCTCAAGTTTTTCTTTCCTTAAACTCTCATCCACTTCAGCTTTCTCCCCATCTTTAAACTTCCTATAACCCAACATCGTCTTTAAATGTGTCACTAAAGGATCAACATACCGATCCATCACCTGCAACACCCCACAATAAGCAACTTAAGAATAATCCATAATGCCATGAAATAGGATTATTAGATACCTCATCTAGATCTTCAAATACATCCTCTCCTATTTTTAGTGTTTTTCCAAGCCGTAACATGCTTGTAATGTCCTTATTCTCCTTTCCACCTTCTATAATGTCTTTGTGAGCATAAACACCATCATAGATTTTGAGTGTCAGTGTTAGGTACGAGGGCCCACGTGAGCTAGGACGAACAATGCTCTCACCAGGCTCCTTATCAGACAGCATCTGGTGGGACAGAAAAACAAAATATGTAAAAGACTTTATTAAACTTCACAATTAACATACATTTCATATATACCTCCATTGCTTCATCCGCTGTGATATTCTGGAAGCGAGGATGAACAATCATTCTTGATTTGAAATGCTTCTTTGCCAGCGCTTTTGCTTTATTTGCTTTTTCTTTTTCAATTTCTGAATTGTCACGGTCTTCAAAATAATACGGATCCTTGGTCTTATAGTTTTGAGAGAAGTCACTCCTTAACTCACTGTCTTTACAGCTTAAGAAAACCATGTACCTCTTTTTCTCAATTGATTTTATCTTTGCAGTGATGATGTCCCCTTCATTCAGACTTTCAGTCAAATCATTATTATCCCTCCGTACATCACTATAATCTTCCTTGTTGAGCATACCGGTGAGCCCCGAATCGAGAGAGCATATCGCCTTTTGAGGTTGAACCCTACGAACAGTGGCCTGGACGATTTTACCCTCGCACAGCGTATCCTCACTTTCCCCACATATCATATAAAAGGCTTGGTCGTCATTCGGTTCCACATACGGTCTCCGCCAGTCTTGAAAACCTTGAATCAACTCCGATCTCATATCATTCAGAGTCACCTTCTTGTTCTCCTGTTTCTTGGATCTTGCATAGTTATCCACCTTCAGACTCCTCAACTGATTAGGGTGTTCTCTCACATGCTCGATTGCCATTTCCAGCATATCCTCATCATCGTTTCCATCATCTCCTCCTGAATGTTTTCTGAACACCTCTTTAGCCAATTCCTGCGCAAGACCATACGATTCCGGGTGGATTCTGGTGTCATCCAACAAATCAATGAACTGGCTGCTGCTGGCGGCGTTTCCACTCCGCCGAACACGTAAAAACCCAACAGCATTTACAAACACCTTCTTGTCCAGACCGTGGTTCAACAGGTCCTTTCTCGTGTATATCGACCCAGCCCTCACTAATGACCGCTGTAAAGAAGCGGCTTTACGGGGTCCCAGCCCAGAAATGAACTGCAAAGGACCAAAAAGCCATTCGTGACTTATGGCTAAGTTGATGTCAAGGCCCACTTGGTTGGTGGCATCCACCATGATCTGTTCAACCATCCCGTATTTCTCATCAGGAGTTAGAAAGCTTTCTAAAGGACTCAGTTTCCAGGATAATATCTCCTTTGCAGGCCCACACAGGGTTGCAACCATTGCTAATGGGTTTTGAAGGTATCGTCCTAGGCCCACCGCTCGCCTTACAATTCCTGAAATTTCATAAAAAATATATATTAGATTTCAAGTAAAAATACTTTGGCATCAAATATATTTAATTACCCGGTTGCGGTTGAAGCTGTTCGGATGATATGCGAGAATTTTCATACAGGTGTGGGAGAGACTCGTCGCCATATACAACACCACCTTCCATGTCATGTCCAAGATCTCTAGGGTTTTCTTCTACCATCTTGAAAATGATCTGATCATATCATAAAATAAAAAAAATAAAAAAAAAAAACAATGCAATTAATATCAATATGATATGATTTTATATGTGAAACGAAAGCGACAATGTGTTTACCTCAAAAATATTATCTTTTAAGCTTCTGCAAGACAAATTGACAGCTCCAAGAACAACAACATAAGGTTGGTGGTCTGTCATGAACTTAACAAGACGTTGTTGATCGTTCTTTTTACGTTGCTGGTCATTAGCATTTTGACCACGGATGCTGATGGAAGCAGCATACAGCACATCAACAACTTCTCCATATGAATCCAACATCACAAATGTTGTTGCAGGTTTCCCTGGGCCCCAGCAGCACGCCATAACCCTTGGTGCACCATCATAATCATCTGAATTAACATCGTGTTCTTTTTTCTGATAAGGTGCCACAGACACTTTATCCCATAATAACCTTCCGTATTCCATGAGTAACCAGTTTTTTGCTCTGCTTGCCAAAATGCCTCTTGCTTCTTTTCCCATTGAAGGTAAAAGCAAACTATCAAACGCATCTTTTATGATCAGTTTCCTTTGTTCGTTCCATAACTGGGCAGACTTACTCACGCCATCACTAAGGTAGTAGTCATGAGCATCACTGATCAACTTATCGTGAACAGATGCTGGAAGCTTTACAGATACTTGTACAAGCTTCTCCTCTTCTGCTTTTTGAATCAGAAGCCACTGTGCATCATTAAATCTTGTCAAAGGTTTGTCCTTCAACCACTTTATCCCTGCAAATTCATGATCAGAATCTATGGCCTTGTTGCCATCAGATGTGGGACTAGTGGACACCACTGCATTGTCCATGAAGATGCTGCGCACATGTTTCCTCACACATGGCTCACAACTAATTTCAATTGCAGCCTATAAAAAACAAGATAACTTGGTCATTACATAATGAAGTACCATAGCTTTAAAAAAAAAAAAGAGGAAAAAATACAATAATACCATATGCCTAGCGCCTCTGAGAACAGCCTGAGGATTTTCAAACATTGCACAAGTAAACCTTGATGCCACCTCTTCTGGTGTTTCCTTTGCATCTTCCAACTCTTCCATCCTCTGTATAAGAAAGCATTATAGTTAAGTTAACTGTGGTTCATTTTGTGAAAAGTGGGATGTCAAATTGTGGAGCTTAGCCAACTTACTGACCATTTGTTCAAGAGAAATCAATAATCCAAATTCCTCAGAGCTGTAGCCAAACTTGGTTGCAACCTCCCATAGTCCAGCTTTGCTACAAACACTATACTGTGATTTCCTCTTTGGTCTTTTGAACTGTCCTTCATCCATATTAGTATCACCAGGTGGGAAATGTAGGTTAAATTTTGAGTCCACGTCATCAATTTCCCTTTCTGACTCAGCAACTTTGAGGGACTTGGTGATTGAATCAAACAGTTTCTGGTTCAAATGAAGACGTGCCTCGTCATACACGCTTCGTTCTTCTTCAAACCGCTTGTTGTAGTATGACTGTAACGCGCTTTTTCGTTTTTGAAGCAGCAACCATTTTCTGTCTAGCTCCAAGATAGCCCAAAGAATCTTGTGCCACCTCAGCGTGGGTTTTTTCTCAGATTTGTTTTCACTTTCCTTGTCATCTTGTGGCTCTGGATCCTTAAAAAGGCTCATGCACTCCTCTTTCCTATACATAGCAATAAATGGTACCTGATAATAAAGATGTTACAGCTTACATGGATCCCAAGAAGATTTGGTCCTTTTAAAATAGGGATCAGATTGAACACTTACATCTAATTTCTGGACATGCATAAATTCTAAAAACCGCATGATGTCATCCTTAACTATTGCCAGGTCATGCCCTTCTTCGGTTGCTATATCGCCTCCTCTGCCAAACAATACCACACCCGTTTGAAGTTGATGAAGAATCCAGGTACTCTCCTCTTCTATACTCATTTCATCTGTTGGTGGAGGACCTGTGCTTTCCTCAGATATCTACAAAGACAAAACTTGTACAACAATCAATACATAATAGATGGATGAAATAGTTAGTAAGTAAATGTTAATATTGTGACCTGCATTCTTTCTGGAATATCTATCTCACGAATGTGCTCATCTTTTTCAGTTTTGTATTTATTGGAAAGAATGGTGGGTTCAAATTCATCTTCAAGCCTCCTTTCCTTCCCTTCACCACTATCATCATATCTACTGATTCTTTCTAGTCCTAACTTGCGTTGCCTCAACAGCTCATCCACATCGCCAAATATATCATGAGCTTCCTGTATTGCACTAGAGGAAACCCCTGGGGCCTGTCTTGACTTTTTCTTGTTGACCTTCCTTCTCCTTGTTGGTTCACCATGTTCATCAACCTCCTCCTCATCAACAATGAAGTCAGCCATTTCATCTTCTTCCTCACCGATGTCACCATCCTCTTCCTCTTCGGGTTGATCCTCTTCAGCAATGTCCTCAAGGGGTGGACCTGAAAGTTATGGGCAAAATGCTAATCATGATTATACATGATAATGATTACTAAAATGTGTTTTAAGAAAGTCAAGAAAATACCCTCATCATCCCCGAATAAACTATGCTCGATTTTCTGCTCTGCACTTCGCCCACTCTTTCCACTTCTATTATAATCATCCTCATCAGAAAATCCTGATTGCCCTTCATCAGCATCAGACCGTGCTTTCTTTAATCGCTTAAACTTTTTACTCTCCTGACAGATTCACATGGAAAGTTTTTAAGAAGCAAATAGAATGAAAGATAATTGCTGAAGAACCATCTGAATGTAGAGCAAGAGACTCACGGCTTTTGGTCGTCGAAATCCAGTGATGTTGTTATCTTGAAGAAGCTCATAGTCGTCTTCATCAAGAACATAGTTCTTCTCCGATTCCCTTAAGATTTGTGCAGCATAAATTAGAAAGGCAGCCGTGCATTCACAACAAAAGGTAAGCTTGTCAATCTGATTTTACCTTTTCTTTCTTTTCTTCTTCTTTTGTCTCTCATCATCACTATCCGCCCTATCCTCTTCCTCAGCATCCTGTTCATCTTCATCAATATCATCCACTATGAAACCGTCTTTCTCATACTCATCTTCTCCTTCCTCTAATTAAGGTCATAAGCAAAAGCACGTTAGAAGATGAATCATAAACTCAAAAACGACAGAATGAATTGATTAGCATTAAGTGTAAAGGATGCAGAAGTTTCAATTGTCCGCAATTAAGTGGGCAACAAATTTCAGAAACACATAGGCCATATAATGATTTTTTGCAATTGGGGGAAAGCACAGGGACATCAAAGAAACCCTAAAGAACCTTTCGAGAGAGCAATAGCATTCCCAACATTTATTATTGATACAGTTATCCAAATTTTAGAAAATTCATACCATCTTCCTCGTCATCCTCTTCGTCGCGATCTTCAGGATCGACTGCGTCCCCATCAGGCTCTTCCCTCTCGTCCTCTTCAACTTCAATCTCATCTATACGTGCGTAGAATTAACCAGCGGGCAAAAAAACAAAAACCTAGTAAATAAACGCATAAATCAAAGACAGTGTTTGTTAATTGAAAACTTCGGGTAGGTAAAAACACCTTCTTCGTCTGATAATACAGTTTTCCCAGCCATTATATAATGATTAATAAAACCAGGAAGGATGCAAGCAAAAACCCTAAGAATCCACAGTCAGAATGTTGGCTTTCGACGAAACCCTAAGCACAAAGACGCTAAATAAACAAATATCAGTGAATCGGAGTCTCCGCAGCTTCGTTGTGCATAGACGAACGATGAAACGAAGCGGGTAGAAATTATTGTGAATCGAAATGGCCTTATATATCATATAATACGCTTGATGTCGGTAAATTTTGACAAATTGTTTGACGGTTTTTATTTTTATTTTTTACTTTTACATTTACTTTTACTTTTATTTGCAACTTACCCTAATTTTCGCGCATATGTATGCTATTTGGAATATAAATTGCATAACTCGACACCATTGTGATCCTCTCACTAGCTTACATCATTAAAGAGGTGAGAGACGTGGAATGTTCGAGTACTTACATTCAGCGGTGGAACCTTTTGGGAACCAGGAGGGGTCATGGTCTCCCCGGTTTTTTGTCTACTATTTATCATATGCTTAGCCAAAATGTATATGTTCGGATGTGTGCCAAAAAAGAAGACGATGATGGTGAAAATGAAAAAGAACGCAAACATTAAATAAAAAGAATATAAAAAGTATTTGTCGAAGTATTCTAAATCAAAACAAACCCGTAGAATTTGGTAATCCAAATCAAATCCTAACAAATCCTAATCACCATTAGAGTGTGATCAGACTCTATCATATCATCAAGATATTAACATATTTAGTTCATTTAATCTAAAAATACAAAAATAATAATCATAAAATATCTCAAAGCTTTTATAAAAACCTCAAAAGAGTTGAGAAAACAAATCTCGAAGAAGAAGAAAATATAAGGTAAAAAAAAGGTCACATGGGTCCCTGCCGGAAACTGCCGTTATCCATCGTTTTAGGTTATGTTTGACACGCCACAGCTAGCTTATTTTTTGAGCTTTTTTATGTTGTCGTGTTTGGTAAGTCAAAAAGTAGCTTATAAGCTAGCTTTTTGAAAAGCTACTTAGACTAACTTTTTAGAAGTTTTTTTAAAATTTTCAACTGCACCTTGTAATTAATTATAGAAACACGTACTCTTACATGTCCTTTTATGTAGTTTTATATATTTCAGCTAGTTTTACCAAACGTTATTTTTTATCAGCTAGCTTTTTATTTAACAGCTATTTTTTCAGCTAGTACGTCAAACATAGTCTTAGGAGTAATGTCGACCATGGTTGAACGTCGTCTACAAGTATATGTTGGCCTTACTCTCTCACAACCTTCGCCTTTCTCTCTCTCTATTTCCATGCTCGCCGTTCTACATGTATATTGTTATTGTTTTGAAGTGAGAAAGTGTGTTTTTTACTGTATTTTTTTTACCCAAAAGTCGAAAGTCCAAACTCTTATTCTCTACATCAATAAATGTATGTGTTGTCAAAACTTTAAAGGACGGATGATGCTTTGCTGTCAAATTTTCCCTTCTCGTTATATTTTATGTTTTTTTAGGAGAATTTATTTGTTAATTCTTTTTTTCCTTAGAAATATGATTTCATTATTTGATAATTATATGTCCTTAATTTATGATTTCATTTTTCCAAATGAAAAGTATGAATATATATTATTTGCAACCTTTCTTTCTAACCGGATTTATATAGTGTTAATAAGTCTTTCCGATAATGACTTAAATGGAACACATTTTTATTTGGTTCCATTTTCGGCCCTTCTAGGTTTTATGTTTGTGTTCCACCTCTGCCTAGATTTCGTCTCTTCTTCTCCGTACTTATTTATAGGCTTTTCATGACCAAAACATGGCTTAATGCGTTAATGTTGTGAAAGATGAATATATAGCTCTTGTTGCTAACAAGGCTTGGATGTTTGTACTTAGGTCTTTAGGGTTACAACTAGCTTTATTAGGCGGTTTAAAAATAAATTTAGCACAAATGACACTTTTTTGCGGTATAAAGTTTGTCTCGTTGTAGCGAGCAAAGTCAAAAACCCGAAATTGGCTGCAATGAAGCCTTAAATCGCGTGGTCAAACTTGCCATGATACACACGGTATGCAGCTTTGTGGTATAAAGATTGTCTCGTTTCCATGGACAAAGTTAAAAAGCAGTGTATATGTAATAACCCCCTGATTTCAAGGACCTGAATTGGCTCAATCATGTGTGTTTATTACACATATATCTTTACAACCTTGACAAGCTCCACGAACTTGGTTTCATAGATTTTTCCATGTGTATCTCTCGTACTTGGTTTGGTCATTGAAATTGTGACACATCTATATCCATTTATAGCCAAGGGTCTTATCCAAAAATACTTCTTTACGTAGATGATATAATCTTGGTCGGCTCCTCATCTAATATTGTGTCTCACATTATTTCCAACTTAAGCAACAAGTTCAATTTGGGTGATATGCATTAATTTCTCGAAATTCTTGCCACTCCAGATGTTATAGGCTTGTTTTTATCCAAATAAAAATATGTTTATGAAATACTTGATCAAGCCGGTATGCTTCAATGTAAGCCTGCCAGTACTCTTGCAGATCTTGCCTCGAAACTTGACGGTTTTGTGTAACCTTCTGATTTTCAACCCAAAAGTTTCATTTTTATTTATTCAAAATATTCATTTACATCATATTATTTATTACATTATGAGGAAACATGATTGTGAATGTGCGTATGTACAGTCTAACATTACCCTTCTTATGAACCAATGAAGTTTCTGAAAAAACATTTATAAACAACTAGACAATCTTTAGGCTTAGTGAATTCCCCGATATACTATATACCACAATACTTATACATACATACAAATAATATATGTATTTTAGACTTACGACCTACACGTCATTGTCTTTAACACGAGTCTATGTGTACTTATGGCCAACATGTCATTTCGTTAACATGTATCGATGTGTACTTATGGTCTACATGTCATTTCGTTAGCTCGTGGTCCTATAGGCTCCCAATCTCTTTGTCGTTCTGCCATCATCCCCTAACTAAACCGTACTAACTTATAAGCATATAAACAATCACGCACATAGATACTACATATTCAAATCTACAGGCGCATAAAAAACTATATTACAGGCTATACATTGCTAGTTTCTATATGTGACATCCCCAAAATCACGGCCAGAAAAGACCGGTTTGTTTATGCTTTGTTTAAAAATCAGAGTAACATTTTAAATAAAAGTGTTGCGGAATTTGTCCCAAAACAATAATATGATAAAGATTTATCAAAAGCATTTCCATAGAAATGTATTTCATTAAAAGACTCGGGATGTCATGTTCGTACAGATCAAAAGCATAAACAGTACAATACAAGCCTTACTACATTATTTCATATCTACAGGCCTATATCCGTAATCCCTCGTCCAAACATCATATATATGCTCAAGCGCCACTACCTGTAATACATAAAACTGAGTGGGTCAGGCTTGGGAGCCTGGTGAGCACATAGGGTTTTCAACCCACAATAAATAGTTTATTAATTTCATCAATCAACAATAACCCGATTACCCGTTCCCGTTATCCTCACTTTACGTCCCTAAACACCTATCATAAGGGACCTAGCCTAAGGATCATCATCGGGACGGACACTGCTACTAAGGGGATTCCTCCGCAATAAATGTCCTAATAGGCAACCATGTGGGGGATGGAGTACATCTGGTGAGCACACAGTTCAAATAAACACCTACAGGTTGCGAGCCTGCTAGTGTTCCACTGGACTGTCTAGAATAGTCCGTGGTCGTCATCTATACTCCGCTAGATGACTGGATCATCAATAACATCTATAACGAGGTCTCTCATTATTTTATTTTGTCACACAGCAACTATTACATCTACCCATGTTTTACCCAACACATTTTGTAGATATAAAATACATATACAGTTTAAATCTTTGAAAACATGTATAAAACGTTCATCCAGCATAGATAGCAAGTATTCAGATAATATGCACAAATAGCACGTAATTTATATTAAATACTTCATATCTATGTGTAAGTTGAAAGTAAATATGCACTCACCTGAAAAGGTGGTGATTCCAAACTCAGACAGCGCTTCGCTTCTTAAAAAGAATTTTCTTCGACGAAACCTAGTATTATTACCACTAGAGTTTAGTTTATTATTCGTCGAGACTAATTAATAGTCTAGCTATTATTATTATTATATAAGCGTCAAAAAAATACTTATATAACCCATAATAATAGTCCAAGTATTTATTATAAGTTCCTAATAACGTTACTATAATTAAATAAAAGCTATATTAAAAATAGCGTAGGCGTAGCTCACTTACAGCGGGTTTTATAGAAAACCGGGCTTTGCTTGGAGCAGCGTTCCCGAGACGAAAAGCTCTTCTTCTCGGAGCCTTCGAGCACTCCGGGGCTTCCGCCTTGTGCTAGGGAGGTTCCCTAGGCTTTTCGGGGGATTTCGGGGCTATAGAGAGGTTCTAGAGAGAGAGAGAGAGAGAGAGTAAAGAGAAGAAAGAATAGGAAAGGTGTGAAGAAAATAAGGGTGGGAGAGGTGGTATTTATAGGGTGAAATGTTGCTGAACTTGGTGCCACATGTCACCATCTGGTGGCAAGCCTTGGGGAGAAAGCAATGGCCAAGATTGTGCCACATCACCCATTTTCGCACAGCACACTTCCGACTTCTAAAATCCATAACTTTCACATACGACCTCCGTTTTTGACGTTCTTTATATCCACGCGTAGGTAATAATAAGATCTACAACTTTCATTTTGACACCGTCAGCTAATTCTCGACCGATCTTAAATTTAACAGTACAAGGAGATTATACTGTTAAACGTCTGCGTAAAATTAATAACTTCTACATACGGACTCTGTTTTTGTCTGTCTTTTTACCGTTGATTTCCTATTAATTAGATCTTCAACTCTCATTTACGTTGCGTAAGCCAAAAACCGCTCGAACTAAAATTCGAGTTTCAGGCCGTGCACTGCTAAGCCGAATCTTAGAAAAATCATAACTTCTTCATACGAAGTCAGATTTGGGCGTTCTTTTTATCGATGTTCTTAGTTTAACATATTCTACGACTTTTGTTTAGATTGATAAGGCTAAAAAGTCTTCTATCGTAAATTCACTATTTACGTCTCCCGGTGCCGTGCCGGTTTTGCCGTAAAACTTCGGCGGGCCATAACTTCTTCGTTATAGCTCGGATTTCGGCATTCTTTATATGTACGGAAACTTTGAGACGTATTCTACAACTTTATGTAGA